AGTGTCTTGATGTCCAAATGGACAGCAGTGATGATTTGTGTTCTCACAATCTGGAATTGTGACAAGTCCTATTTAACTTCTTAGTTACTGACATGGACAGTGAGATGGAGTTTGCCAATGACACCGAGCTGTGTGGTTCTGGAAGGAGGGGATGGCATGCAGAGGGACCTGGACAGGYTCAAGAGGTGRACTTGTGCCACCAGACCACAGAAGTGTTTAGATGTATTCAGGAATACTTCTTGAACTGAAAATTGGTATTTGCCTTGGTTTGACATTGGGACTTCTGTTCAGCTGTTTGCATCTGAATGAGTCAACTGGAGTGGAAACGTTGACAWCTAGCCACCATTGGTTTTCCATATTGACTGGAAAAACGTATATTACATTTCTCTTTTTAAACAGAAAGACTTTTAAACCAGACTGGATGATTTAGTAACCTATCTAGTCTTTGTAACCTTGATGCGATTTACTGTAATGACGTTACACTTTGCTTTTAAGTTTCCTAGAATTATGTGTGTTTCTTATGTCTRCAGAGTGTTCTACTTGGTTAAATACTGTGGTAGAATAAAGTCTAATTAGRCTAAAGACTAACTTCAAAGAAACAGCTCCATGAAAGTCCTGTTGATGGTGTAGTTGGGTATCTTTAAGTTTGACACYCACCAGAATGGTATTTTTAATGTGAATATTCAAACTAATATTTGAAAACTTAACTTGCGAAGTGTTGTGAGGTCCTTGAACTCAAAATTCAGTTCCATTGTTGATGATAGTATGCTGGTTCTGTAGTTCCAGTGTGRACTATAGGTAGACTTTCAGCCCTATTTTTTATTTAAAAGTCTGACTTGATGTTACTTTTCCCCATCAGAGTAACTGTGAACCAAGCATATAACCTCTGCCTTGCATTTTCATTTTCACAACTCTAATGAATCTTGATCTGCTTGCGTTAGTTTCCTTACTCATTGCATATTAGCAGCTCCTCCATAGATTTAAATATTTGAGTATTAGGTGCCTTTGATAGAAAAAGGAGAGATTGTTGTTTCTGTGGTTCTTCTGACTTCCATGCCATTTTTTCTTGGATGAGTTTTAAGCTGATTTTCTTTATCCAGTAGCTGATGTCCACTTAGGAAGGAAGATTCCATGRGGAATGGATTGAAATAAAGCAGTTAATGTTGCCTTGCTGGAARTAAGATTGCAGGTAGAGAGGAGGGGCTTGTTCTTGGGAACCTTCCAAGCAGGAGAGACAGGAGAGGGGCCAAGTGGGTGAGATGAGAGAGATAATGTTAGGGTAGATGAATTGTCATCTGTAATCTAAGCTCTGCTAAAATGAAGTTACTCAAGGATGATTTAAAAATGTCTTACAACTGCTTTCATTATTTAGGTTTTTTTTTTGTTGTTTTTTTGGTTTTTTTTTTGGTCACCATGAGAAATGACAATCAGACCTCTTCTTGTGGGGCTGGGAATGCTTAGGTCTGGAATGGGTTTCTCCTCTCACTAAGGGAGAAACTGTTCAGTCATTGTGGCATCACTATAGAAATACACAAGTTTTGTCCAAACTGGCATGGCATGGAAGGGGATGTGAGCTATACACCTAAARATGTCTTGAATGTGTTTTGTGGTTTATTATGGATAATGCAGTGTGATGCTGCTGTGTAACACTGGTCATCTGATTTGTAGCTCAGTGAGCCCTATAAAATAGAACATGACTCAAAAAAAGATTACTAAAAACATAGTGTTTGTCACTGTCCTTTAGGATTAAATAAGCAAAACATGAAATTCCCAAAACAAATGTAAGCTTTTAAGATCAAGAATCCTCTTTAGCTTATCTTAGACCTTCAAGGCATGTATTGACCATCTGATTCAAATCAGTCTGGTGTGCAGTATGGATCACTCTTATCCAAAATTCTCCACCTTTCAAATTCAGARTGGGGCTTTTTTGATTTCAGCATATTTAGTGCAATTCCTAAAGCCTATGTCCTAAAGCCATCTTTGCCCTTGCCTACTGGCTGATGATTCTCCTAATCAATCCTAGTCCTTGTGCTTTTCCCCAGCACAGACACTTATCATTGCTGGCATGTCTTGAAAGCAGTGGAAGCATAAGGTGCAGAAACAACTCCAAATGAGGTAAACCTGTTATAAGTTGCAAAACGTGGTTTTTTTCCTACATCAGGTTAATGGTCTCTAAACCAAGATATTCTTTGCAAGTTACTACTAAAACTATTATTCTGTATTGCCTGGTTCTTTATATACAGAAATGAGTCATCTACTGTAAATTCAGGGTGTGTTAACCCTGTATTTTAAGTCTACATGCAATGGAAATGTCATAATCTGTAGTTGTATGTAAATATCAACATACTTTTACAAAGGCACATGTTGACCCTCATTGAGCAGAAGCTGTTTTCTTCATAATTCCTGCCTGTTCACATGGCAGATGTATGGTTTCCTTGAGTATGTAAGTATTATTCTGAGGAGGACCAGAGCTCAAGTTCTGATGGTCTTCTCTGGTGATTWTAGAAAGGATACCTGTAGCTTGTGTTTTTTTCTTCTTTCTACTAAATATATCATACTCCTTCAAATTTTTCATCTCACAATAAGTGTCTGTGTTGTGCTTTAAAGGAGCTTAGTGATTTTTTTCCCACAAATATATCAGCAAGACTGGTAAGAAGGAAGGTGCACTTTGGAGTAGAATAGGTAGGTGGATGCCATTATGCATTTTATGATGCATTTTGTGATGATAAAAATGCTAAAATAGTGTTTTCCAGAACTATTTAGTGTAACTAAATCCTTACACAGCAGACTCAGCTTTTTGCAGTGTGCTAGAGGGAGAGATTAAGCATACAGTTTATGCTGTTCTATGGAGTAAGCAAGAAGAATTTCACATAGGGAGGCAGCAGTTCAAGTTGGGTTCGATTATACTCACTGAAGCACTATATAAATGTTTGGGTTCCTCTCCTTTGAGTTTATTGCTTGTGGCCAGGTTTAATGGGCAAGCAAGATAACACACAAAGAGAGAAGCATTAAAAACTTAATAATATTTTCTCTTGACTCATAAATGTGTATATGCAGAGACATCCACTGACAGTTTTCARAACTTTCATCTAAGTGATGATGTTGTGAAATCTGACCTAAGCATGTATATGCTTTAAAGCCTTTCAAGATAAATTAGTGGAAGTTAGAGGATAGAAATGTGACTATTGGCAAAGAAGCAGGATCAATGTGATAAGCAGGAAAGCCTAATTTAACCTTTTAAAAGAATCTCTGCAAGGGAGATGGCAGTGAGCACCATAAACCAGTTTTTACTCCCTTTCTATACTGCATGGCTTGAAGAGCTCTGTGTCTGTTAGACTATATGATTCCCATTACCAGTGACTTCATGAAATGCTACCCTTCTAGTAAAACATAGCTTGTGWTTCTAATGGTGCTTTTATTGTAAAACTTGGGTTAGTTTTAGGAGGTTAATTGTAAAGGTATCCTTTAAATCTAACCCCTGCTCTGTTTGGGTAGTGTAATTGGAGATRTTGAAACAAATTCCTCTTGCTTTGTATTTTACACTTAGAATAATGCATTGTGGAATTTTTGTAGCATGTGTTAATTTGGAAAGGTTTCATTTTCTTGCTTGGGRAAATAGTTGGATTTATAGATCTATTAAGCAAGGTGAGCTAGATACATACACAGGGATTTTTATGTTCCTCAACTTGAAGTGACCTAGCAAGTTTGAAAGTAGCATAAAACCTGAAGCTGACATCTCAGTATTTGATCTGCTGTGATCATGACCTGTTAACCTTTAGCTTTAATGGCCCAATATAATTCTTCAAAGTTGCAAATGTACTCTACTGTGGGGCTGGTGGATGATCAAATCCACTTTGCCTGATCACATCTTCAGAATGTGTGTTGTTTCTAGTAGATACTTATCTCCTATATTGTTTATCTTATATTTGAGAGAGACTTTGGTTTTTGCTGTAGTGTGCAGCTTATGTGGGTAACATTCAACATCTTGATTAGGAGCTGCAGGACCTGATTTGTGAAAAGGCAAAAAATTGATTAATGCTGTAGTTGCCATAAAAATAAGTTTTAGTTTATGCAAAGATTTCTGAATTGGCCATGATGACCTCACTACCTCTTGTGCTGAGGAGGAGTCAAAAGACAATCCTCAGAAGTACGGTGTACAGATATTAAAGCTGTTTGAGAACTGCTTCACTTAAGCAGAGATTCCTTAAACAGAAGTATAAAATTATATTCTTTAATACAGAAACTGTCAAAGACTTTCAATAATTAAGGGACTAATGTTTTAGTTCCCTTGTCTCATGCAACAGTGCTGTACTATGTTCTTATAATCTGTTTGCTACATCTGGGTATTTTAAATGATGAACAATATTTATTAAATASGAAAAACAAAGATTAGTAATATATTTGCAAGGGCCGTGGTGATCTCTCATGTCGTAAGGGACTTAAGCCTTTGGTGCTTGTGTGAAAATTGGTGAAAGGAATCACTTCTGTTGAGTATTGTTGTGGTAAGCGAGCCCGCAGATATCTTCTGTGTGCAAAGGACTTTGTATTCTGTCTATGACAGAATAATGATCAAAAGGGACCACCTTTTTTAAAAGATTATTTCTGTTTGGAAATGAGCTAACCAAATGTGACTGGCTGAATGCAGAGGGATAATGTAGGATCTGGAATTGTGCTGTGTGCTTCTGAAATTACACATTGCTTAGTGAGAGGGAKGTTGCAGCACTGGGAGAATGGTAAAGTGTCTTAAAATCCAAATTATTTCAAGAAATGGAATTCCATGGCTGAATTTTGACATCAGTTTTTAAAAACTGATTGACTGGATTTGCAGAGGATTCCTGAGTACATCGTATGAAGTGGGTCCAGGGAGAAGTCAGCAAGGGAAACTTTTAAAATCTTTACCTTCTCAGCAAAAGGAATCTGGGGCTTTTTRAAGTTTACCTAAGAGTCTGAATAATAGCACCTTAAATGCTTTTTCCCTGCCTTTTTTTCCCCCCTGACAGATTTCCTTTATATCCAAAAGGAGGAGAGAAGCTTCAGTTTGAATATGGAGTTTATCTTCTCAACAAAAATATAGCACAGGTTGGTACACTTGTGATTTTTTTTTATTATTTATTTCTGTTCTCTGCTTGGTGTTGATATGACAATAGTGTGTGTGTGCTGTCTTGTGATGCCACTCTCTGTGGTGAAAACCTGCGAAATAAGAAAAATGTACTTGAAAACACAATTTTCATTTACCTTACAGCTTTGTGCTTGAGATTTTCTTCTGTGGTGCATAGAGAAGGACTTGCCAGATAATAATGAATATTTTCCTTTCCAAATAGTATGTTCTATGAGTCTATACACATTGTTTTGAAAATTGTAAGTATTTTCTGTTTTTTTTTATTCTGTTGTACTAGAAGGTGCATTTGTGTAATTCTTGCTCCTGTGTCTTAAATTTTATGGTATTACTTCAACTACTATTCTACCGTTATAAGAAAACACAAGTAGAAAATAGGAAATCTTGCAAATGTGTGATTTTAATAAAAAAGTCYTCTAATTAACCTTACTTCATTGTTTTGAATGTATTTTTAAAAACACTCTTTACTCTGGCAAATRCAAGAAACTTTGCAAACTTGTATTTGAGATGGCAGTAGTACCTGCAACTAACACATTTGGTGTGGAATTCAGAGAATGTTCAGAAAGCTGSTCTGAAAGAGGCCTGGGGAGGCTGTTTTGACTGTACATAGTCCTAGGGCAGGGTCAGCTGTTCTTACGCTATCCCTGGGGATGTTCTATAAAGAAAAGCCTGTGATATAAGCACTGCTTAGTTCCAATGYTTGACTGTCTTGTCCACTAAAGACATCTAATTTCTGACATCTAGTCCAAATCCATCCTGTCTCTGTTTATATATTATAATAATCTGATCCAATTAAGTCTCTTCCTTTTTGCAAACTTTTTTTGCAAACCACCTTTCAATACTCGTCTCAAGTTCTCCATCTGAATCCACATTTTTCTTGAAAAGCAATGCCCAAAGCTGGATGCAGTGAGCAACTGTTACTTTCAAAATGTTGAGTAGGATGGTAGAAATGCTTCCCAGGTCTTTTCCTTTTAGTTCCAATTCATTGTGTTCTAGTAAGTTTGTACTCTTAAAAGCCTAGCAGAATGAATCCTACACTTCTGAGCAACCAATAGTCCCAGGTACCTTCTTGTACAAGAACAAAGTAATCCATTCTGAATTCTGAAACAGGAGACTTGTTTAATTCACCTTTTATATGCTGTACCGTGAATGTATCTTTAAAGATGAACTCTTTTTGTTCTTAGTCATGTTTCTGCTTTGGTGACATAACACTAGTTGAGAATTCAGTCTCAGCTTTATGCTGGCTACACCTGAGCCTAATCCCTATCCAGATTACCTGATTGAAATATTAGATAGATCTRGAGTTCTGTCCACTCAGGTGGAGCCCTACTTCACCAGCACTTCAGTAGTAACCGTGAACCATTCTTTACTACACTCGAAGAGTACTTTCCGTGTATTCATTCATACTTCATCAGTATCCACTTTCCCCATAATATGCCTCTGAGCATATTATACCAGAAAATGCCAAGAGATTTAAATTCCAACAGAGATGGCATTTRTTTCTAACCTGTTTGAAATAACATTAGTCTTACAGTTTATTCTTGAAGAATTCTGACCATTTTATGCTTGGTTTCTACTAGTCTTCTACTGTTTGTTTTTCCAGTTTTCTCTCCCATCACTTTTTTGCCGTTCCTCACCCCAAACTGATGTAAAGCTTCTGAGTCTTTCTGTGTTGTTCATTTTTTAAGCTTGGATTGCATTTACCACTTTCCAGACTTGCCCACGCGTAGTGTATTTTGGATGATAACCTCTSAAATTACTTAAAGGATAAAATATCTTAAGACAGAGTTAATCAAGTCCTGCTAATCTTGGAAATTCTCTCAGCCAGACTGTTAATGTAACTTAGACTGTACCTCTTTGTTGGCCATATTAGTAATGGCAGCCAGCTGTTGATGCTTGACCTTCAGAAGGAAGATTAATGAGAAAAGGGGATTATTCTTTYCTTCAAAGGCTTTGATAGCTCTCTCTCTCTTCATTACTATCAAATCAAATCAATGCTTTCCTGAATCTCTGCTTCCTAGTTCATTCTGCTAACACTAGTTAATTCTGTAACATGTGAGAGTCATGGTGCTGCTTGCTTTGCCTTTCAGCCCTTTCTGGTTTTTATCTTATTCTGGAGTTTGCCATTCAGYCATGTGATGCAAGCTAGAAGTTCTGTGTTTTTTTTAATTGAAACTATGAACTCTTCATTGAGCCCATGGTGGTTGTCTTTCCTGTTTGTGTAGTTTGCATTACTTGGCACTTGTCCCTGTGGTACTTATTTTATAGGAACTGTCACCACTTCACTTGTTTTCTTGTTTATCTCTTTGACTTGTCACCTCTGAGTTGTTACCACTGTTGGAACTATTGAAACCTCTCATTCTGATTTTCTTGTCCTGTTTCTGAAGGACTCTGGGTAGTTGAACACACAGTCACTCACCCATGTTGCCTTCCAATTTCTTGCAGTGGTTTCTGAAATCACTGGCATGTGTTTAAACTCATAAAAGTAAATGAAGACTCTTAAGTATATATTGGTATAAAAAGGGTTTCCAAGTTTACGTGGGGTCATTGGTGGTGGTGCAAGCTAGTCAGTGGCCAAACTTTGAAGTGGTTTGTATAACACCAGTGCTTCACATGTTAATGCTTGAGATTGTATGCTGTTGGATATAAAAACATAATAAAAGTAAATTGGAATTTCTGGGTGGGGCTTCTACTACTTACTTAATCAGGAAAGTGKTACTGATGTCCACATAAACTGTTGTAGTCACCTTTGTTTTGATGTCCTTGGTCAAATGTTGCTGCTTTTTATAGTTCTGCCAAGGGGAAATTCCATTGTGAAAGCAGAACAGGTAAATRATGTGCAGAAATGCATCACAAAAATTCTGTGCTCTGGGGCTGACTTGACCTAAAAACCCAAAATTGTCTGAATCCTTTGCATGTTCCTTGGGGTGCTGAAACTGTTGAATTTAAGTAGCTTTTAGCAGGTCTTATGGCTGCTTTCAGAGAAGCTTCCAGATATGCTTCATTCTTGTGAATGTATGAAAAATTAGGTTTGGACAGAGAATGAGAAGCTGTCTCTCTCTTATCTCCAGACTATCACCCAAAGGTGTTTGCCTTCATTCAGAGAACCAGTCCCCTTTGTCATAAACAAATGTGAAGCAGTTGCCCAATGCCCGTTGTGTGCTGTGGGAAGGTTGGAGATGCTTGGGAAGCTTAGTGACTTCACTAGAGYATGAAGAGAAGAGCCTGGGTCTCTCTGACTTCACTTGAATAAGTCRTGCAAGTTTTGATCACTGTGGGTGAGAAACAGAGAGCCCAGAAAAACTATCAACTTAAAGAAATACCTTGAGGTTATCTATATAAACTTCCCTGGTTTCACCAGGGATTTTTATATATGKTTTTTTTTTYCCCTTTCACAATTACCTGAAATTCTGGCAGCAAGGAGAAATGTCAGTGTGGAAGAAGTTAGATGGGGTTGATATTAGGTAAAATTACTGATATAAAAAGTCTTCTAGAGATAAAGTGGTACTCCTTCGTAAAACAGCAGGATAATAACAATAGAAACCACATCTTGCACTCAGGAGAATTCAGCTGGAATTAGAAGCAGCTCAGTGCTGGCTTGGTAGAGCATTTTTTAGAGGAACTTGCTTTGCTGTTACATTCCGAAGTTGAAACAATGTGTGTTAATTCTGAGAGTTCATAATAACTTCCATCTGTATGTGAGCACAAATTGTTTCAATACGCATATTTTCTATTTGTAAAATTGAATCCCTCACGAAGTTCRCAGAGGAGCTTTTTGAGTTGGATAAAATTAACAAAGGCCATAAATTTCCAATTAAGACTTCAGCTATTTGACTCGTGCTAGCATAGAAATGTGGGTTTTTTTTTCAAAGGGAAATTAGTGATTTATTTMTAATAATACCTGCCAAAAAAATCACTGTCATTGTCAAAGGTGAACTGCAATACAGTTGCTAAAAAAGTGAATTGCGCAGCTCTCCAAAGCATTGGGCAGTGGGAGAGTATTCACATACTGGTCATATAAACTCCACAGCTCCTAAGATCCCTTCCCACTCCTAGGGATGCATGTRGAGTATCTGAGGAAGCTGTGCTTTAGTAGGAGAAGGAAGTGAACTTTTGCCCTGGTATTCACAGCAGAGAAATTGAGATTACACCATGGAAACATCTTGTTATGGTGGATGAATATTAAGAAGTCCCTGAAGCATGGTGAGGTTTTTTGTGGTTGGTAAGTGAACACAGAACAGGGTCAAAATGGCATCTCTTAGAGTTCTTATTGTTCTGAATATACAATGTGGGTGGCACCCAGTTCTGCTGGGGCACAGACATGAACATTGTGGAGCTGAGCTCTMACAAGTACTTGAGCAATGGTCTTGCCACTCCAGGTTTTTTTATCTCAGTTGTTTGTTTTCTGTTTTTATTTTAAATTTGAAATATGGGGTATTGAGAGTGCAGTGGCTTTGAGTTGTGAATCTCAGGCCTTTAGAAAGGAAGCATCTTTATTGCTGTTTTACTGTCTGCTTTGCTGTCTCTTTCCTTCATTCCCAGAGCCTTAATTGCTTTGGTGTGACTTCAGTGCATGTTCTTCATTGCATATGAGGAGATGATCTTAACTTAGTGACCATCTTCCTTRAGGTGAGTGAGTTCATAAGTGAGCACACTCAGTGTCACTGTGGGAGARTAACTGGCCCAAAATTGTATATCGGAAAAGATGAAGACGTTGAGGCCCTGGCAGAGGTTTCTCACAGAAGCTGTGKCTACCCCATTCCCTGGAGGTGTCCAAGGCCAAGTTRGATGARSCTTGGAGCAACCTGCTRTAGTGTAAGGTGTCCTTGCCCATGGCAGGGGTTTGGAATGRGATGAGCTTGAAGGTCCCTTCCAGCCCAAACAATTCTGTGATTCTGTATTACATGATTTGTTCTGTGTTTCTGTTTACATATTTTCTGTCCTGCTTTGGTCATTATGTCTA